TTTATTATTGTTATGTACTCTCTTGTTCTTTTGACCCTTTAAGTATTACATAGTGAGCGACCTTGTCTGTTGTGATGGTTTCTTCATTGAAATTTATTTTATCAGAGATTAATATCACTAATCATGCTTTTATCTAGTTGCCATTTGCATGGTATATTTTTCCCCCATCCTTTTCTTTTTAGTCTTTCTTTATCTTCATTTTTCAGGTGTGTCTCTTGTAGAGAGCATATTGATGGATTTTGGTTTTTTATCCAATCTGGTACTTTTTTATCTTCAGTGGTGCATTCAAATCATTCACATCAGTGTGATTATTGGAAGGCAGGGTTTTATTGCTATCATTTTGTTGGATTCTTTTTGGTGTTGTTGCTAGTTACTTTGGTCTATGCTGCTTTCTGTAGCACCTCTGTAAGAAGGACATCTTTCAGTGTTTCCTGCATGCTAGTCTTTTTTTACAAACTCTCTTAGGTTCTGTTTTTCTCGGATTATCTTGATCTTTCCTTCATATTTGATGGATAGTTTTGCTAGGTGCAGTGTTCTTGGTTGACAGTTGTGTTCTTTGAGTGTTTAATACATGTCCTTCCACTATTCTTCTTGCTCACATGGTTTCTGCTGAGAAATCAGCACTTAGACTTACCTGCTCTCCCTTATAGGTTACTCTTTGTTTCTACCTCGTTGCTTTCAGAATTCTCTCCTTATCTTTGGTTCTGGCAAATTTGACTATTTTGTGCCTTAGTGTTTTTCTTTTGGAATCTATTTTATATGTTGTTTGCTCAGCTTCTTGAATATATATTCTCTCATTCTTCATTATTCCTGGGAAGTTTTCCTCTAGTAATTCTTCCACAGCTTTTTTGGTGCCTTTACCTGCTTCTTTCTGTTCTGGGATTCTGATGACACTCATGTTATTTCTCTTGATGGTGTCCCACATTATTCTTAGGTTTTCTTCTTTTTCCTTCCTTTTTTATTCTGCTTTTTGCTCTAGCAGATCAGGTGACAATTCTAGCTTCTATTTCACTGGTTCTGGGTTACATCTCTTCAACTCTGCTTATGTGTCCCTCCATCATGTTGATAGCGTCTGAAACATTGGACTTCATCTTTTGAATTGTGGTTTCTTGTTTCTGCAGTGCCACTAATGCCTCGTTTATTTTATTTTCATTGTTCTGACCTGTTGTGTTTTTTTTAAAGCTCCTGATTTTTGCTTGCAGTGTCCTGTAATTCTTCAACTTTGTCTTTCACCCACTGAAAATATTCAGTCATTGTTCTTTGAAATTCTATGTCACAAAGTTCCATCAGACTTTCTAGCTTCAGGAAATCCATTGGTACTGTGTCACCTCTTGGGGGTGACATCTTGCTCTGCACTTGTGTAGGGTGTGGGATAGTCTGCTGCTTTTGTGACATTGATAGGTTCTTTATATGAAGACAGTGCTCTAGAAATCAGTGGGGCAGCTACCCCGCCTGTGTTTCTCTCTGAACTTTTGACTCCAGGAAAGGTTCAGTTCAGGGTCTGTAAGAATAGCCTTTTTTGCTAAGTCAGATCAAGGTGCTCCAGATTAAAGGCTAGTTGACAGGGCAACCACGGGAGCAGGGCAGCCACTTGCAGGGACCTCACTCAGATTTTAGCTGCCCAGGTGTGATCACAAATGGGATCCCTACCAAAATTCCAGCTGTCTGTCTCCCACCCAGTGGCTCTCTCTCAGCGGTCCTTGATCAGTGGCCCCCACCCCAGCAGGGCCCAAGAAAATTCCCAGTGACCCACTCCTTCATGGTGGGTTGGCAGAGCCCAAGAAAACTCAGTCAAATTCTTACTGACCTACTTGCTCCTGGGGGGTCAGCAGGGCCCAAGAAAACCCAGTCAAATTTCTACCAACCCACTTACTCTTGGCCAGTTTTCAGGGCCCAAGAAATCTCAGTCAATTTCTCACTGACCTGCTTGCTCCAGTTGGGTAGGGCCCACAGTTCCTCGGCTGGTGGCTTCTGCCAGGGTCCACAGTGCACTGTTCCTGTGGCTCCCAAACTAATTCTTTTAATAAAAGTTCTGACTCAAATTCCTACTGTCCACATCGCCACATCAGTGTCTCTGGTGGCCCGTTTCTACGCAGTTTGCCACTCCTCCAGCTCCTTATGCTGTTCCCTCCACCACCGCCATCTTGGATCTCATTTTCAACTTTTTAAGGATAAACCAAACTGCTTTCAGTACTGTTTGTACCGTTACACATTCCCATAAGCAGTGTATGAGAGTTTCTTTCTTCATACATTTGCTTATTATTATTTGTTGTTTATTATCTTACCGAACTTTGCCATTATGGTAGTGAAAGGATATTATCATTTATATTCGTATATAAGATTTGGATCCTCCAACTGTTCTATGGGAGAAAGATGGGCAACCTCCTCCCCTGTGATAAAATTGCCTCTGAAAACCCACTGGAGGGATAACAGTGAGTTGATTCCAACTTGACAGAATAACAGCAAGAGAGAGCCCTGGTGGCTTAGTGGTAAGGAGTTGCACAGCCATCCCAAAGGCAGGTGGTTCAAATCCGCCAACTACTAAATTGAAAAAAGTCAGTCTCTACCATGCAAGTTACAACCTCTGAAAACCTACAGGTTCAGCTATGAGTCACTTCTGACTCAATGACACATAAGAGTGAAAATAATTGCTAACATGGCATAGTCCGTATGAAGTAGCATTGCTAACCCAAAGGCCTTGCTTCTCTGACCACACAGGTCCACTGGCAGCTTTTAGGTAGAGAAAGATGGTTTTCTCCCATGTGATTTAAAACTGTGGGAACCTAGTAGAGAATCAGCTGGGAGATGGCTTCTGTCTAAGCTCCAGTGAGTTTTAGAATAGCTAATGATTTTGAGTGTTGCTTCATGTGTTTGTTGGCTCTCTGAATATCTTCTGTGGTAAAGTGTTTTTACATATCCTCTGCCCATTCTTTTTATTTTTTTCTCTGCCCATTTTGTAATTGGATTATCTTTTTTCCTTGTTGAAATGTTGGTGACTTGGATACATTTTAGAGATCCTTTGTTAGAGATATTATTTCCAAATATTTTTCTGCTCAGTCTGTAGATTCTCTTTTTTAGTCTGTTAGGAAAGTCTCTTGATGCACGTTATTGTTGTTGTTATTATGTGCTGTCAAGTCACCTGCGGTTCAAGCCTGTCCTGAGCCGGTATCACGGACTCCAACACACCTACCCCCATTGCCCTGGTTACTAGTCTTCCTCTCCTACACTGTCTCTCCACCCTTCCGAGCATGATATCCTTCTCCAAAAACCAGTCCCTCCTGGCCAAGGATTAGCTTGGTTTCACCCTCTCCAACATAGATTTTTTGTTTTCTTGGCAGTCCACGGTATAGTCAAGACACTTCTCCAGCACAACTCAAAGGCATCAATTCTTCCTCTGTCATCCTTAGTCATTGTGCAGCTCTCTAAAGCATAGCAAGTAATTACGAAGACCATGGCCTAGAGATTTAATTTTTACAATGTTTCAATCATGTAATTTTCTTCTGCCAATTTGTGCATCTTTTGTTATTTGATAGTCTTATTCTTTTAATTGTAACATTTTTTGCAAGATTTCTTTTGTTGCCTTATTTAAGAATATTTTACTTTCATAAATTATAACTTCAGTATTTTAAAACTATTATTTTGTTGTCATTATCTCTACTCTGTAGTTATTAGACAATGTTAGAGGAATCTTAGCTGAAAGCTAAGGAATGTCTATCTGTGTTTCATTGAGTGTGCAAAAGCATTATTTGACTGTGTGAATCACAATAAGTTGTGGCTAACCTTGAGGAGAATGGGAATCCAAGAACACTTAATTGTGCTTATGTAAAACCTATGCTTGGACCAGGAAGCAATCCTCAGAGCAGAGCTGGGAAACACTGCATGGTTCAGGATCAGGAAAGTTATGCATCACACATGCATCCTGTCTTCATATCTTTTCAATCTATATGCAGAAGAGATCATCCAGGAAGCTGGACTTTATGAGGAGGGATGTGGCATCAGGATTAGAGGAAGACTAATCAACAATCTGCATTATGCAGATGACACAACCTTGTTTGGTGAAACTGAGGTGGACCTAAGGCATTTGCTTCAGAAGGTCAAGGACTGCAGCCTTCCAATACTGACTGAAGCTCAACATCAAGAAGACAAAGATTTTCACCACTGAGCCAATTGGCAGCATCATGATAAACAGGAGATTGAGATTAACAGCTTTAGTTTGCTTAGATCCACAGTCAACACTCTTGGTACCAGTAGCAAGGAAATCAAAAGACAAATTGCATTAGAGAAAACTGCTGTCAGGGACCTCTCCAGAGTACTGAAGAGCAATGATATCAGTCTAGACACTGAGTTGCACCTGGTCCAAGCCATAGTCTTCACAGTTACTTTCTATGCATCAGAGAGCTGAACAGTAAATAAGAATAATAGAAGAAGGATCAATTCCTTTGAATTATGGTGCTGAACATACTGTAGACTGCTAGAACAAACCGGCCTATTCAGGAGAGGATGAAACCAGGCTGCTCCTTGGAGGCAAGGATTCAGTAGTTCTCACATACTTTGGGCCTGCTGCCAGGAAGGACTAGTCCTTGGAGAAAGACATCATGCTTGGAAGGATGAAGGGACAGAACAAGAGAGGAAAACCTTGGATGAGATGGATTGACTCTATGACTGAGGTAATGGGGATAGGTGTGTTGGAGACAATGAAATTGCCTCAAGATAGGGCAGGGTTCAGAGATGTTGTAGATGGGGTTGCTATGAGTCACAAGCAATACAATGGCACAAAGCAGCTCTTTCAGTATACAGAATTAGTGACCTAATACATAGTAAGTGAATGTAAAACTCAGTACTTTGAAATGATTGTCCTCTGTTTTCTCATAGTGCATTTTTATATCCATGTTCTTAGGCTAATTACTTTTTTCATCTTATTATTATTTCTTAAAATATTATGTCTTTTATATGGTCCTTGATTAGATTAACAAATGCATTTCTCTTTTATGTGTTTTTAGGGTAGAGCTCTACTCCACTGGGCCTGTGACCGAGGACATAAGGAACTAGTGACTGTCTTGCTACAGTACAAAGCTGACATCAATTGTCAGGTAAGAGTGATGAAGGGTAGTTTGTTGAGTTTTTTAAAATTAACATACAAATCATATAACATAAAATTCAGCACATTAACATTTTAAAGTTTTTAATTTGGTAGCATTTCGTTTGTTCACAAGTTGTGCAACAACCACTCCCATCTAGTTTATGATCTTTCAAGGGAACTCCACACCTGCTGAGAACTTGATTCCCATATCTCCCCAATTGGAGAAACCACTAATCTGCTTTCCATCCCTAGGAGTTTCTTTTTTTCTAATTATTGATATAAATTAAGTTATAAAATGTATGATTCTGTGTCAGGTTAAGTTCACATAGCATATTTTCAAGGTTCTCACATTTGTTGCAGCATGTATTAGTACTTCATTCTGTTTTAAGGCTACATGATATTTTGTTGTGTGAATTTGCCACATTTTGTTTATCCACTCAACTGATGATACTTATGTAGGATGTTTCTACCTTTTAGCCAGTCTAGATAATGCTCATATGAAACATTTGTGTACAGTATATGTCTTCACTATGAATGCCTTTTCCGTCCTTTTGAGCATATGTATATTTAGGAGTAGAATTGCTAGATCGTATGTGGTGCTGGAAAAGAGTCTTGAACATACCTTGAACTGCCAGGAGAACAAATAGGTCTGTCGTGGAGACGGTGAAACCAAGTTTCTCCTTGGAGGCTAGGATTTTGAAGTGCCATCTTCCATACTTTGGGCACATGGCTAGGAGGGACCAGTCCTTGGAGAAGAGTGAAGGGACAGTGCAGGAGAGAAAGACCCCAGATGAGATAAATTGATAGGGAACTGGGGCAGTGGGGATAGCTGTAATGGACTTGGTGAGACTGGTTCAGGACAGGACAGGCTTCAAAGCTATGAAGGATACATAGTATCACTATGAGGTGCAGGCACTTTGATGGCACATAACAACATGGTCATTTTAGCTTAAACTTTTTTAGGAACTGCTGAACTACTTTCCACAGCAGCAGCTACATCGTGCATTCCCACCAGTAATGTAGAACAGTTCTAATTTCACCAATACTTATTTTCCTTATTAATAGCCATCTATCAGGTATGGTTTTGATTTGCATTTTCCTAGTGACAAATGTTATTAAGTATCTTTTCATGTACATGTGAGTCATTTGTATGTCTTCTCTGGAAAAATATTAATCCAAGTCCTTAGCCCATTTTTAGTCACTGTTGTAATCGATTTCTTGACCTTTTGTCATTTTTATAATAGATTTCTTGACCTTATAATGGAACCTGTCATCATATGTCATCGAGTTGATTTCCAACTCAGTGAATGCATGTGACAAAGTAGAACTGCCTTTCTTGGCCAAAATCTTTATTGGAGCAGTGTGGGTTTAAACTACTAGCCTTTTAGTTCTTATTTGAGTGCTTAACAATTTTATCACCAGGACTCACTTTACCCTAACCCTATTTTAGCCTTTTTAGAAAGAATGAGTCTCTGTCTCTGTTGTTCAGTTGTGAGAGTTCTTTATATGTTCTGGTTACTAGAGTCTTAAGCATATGTTGTGAAATTGTTTTCTTTCTTCCTCTCTAAGCTGTCTTTTCATTTTCATGGTGGCATCCTTGATGTGTTTAATTTTGGTGCAATGCAGTTCATCCTTTTTTCCCCTTTTCTTGCTTGTGCTTTCAGTTTCATATATCAGTAATCATTGTCAGATCCAACATTATGAAATTTACCTTGTTTTCTTATAGACTTGTCTCCTTTTAACTATTACATTTTGATAATTGATCCATTTTGAGTTAATTTTCATATATTGTGTGAGATAAGGGCCTAACTTCATTTTTTTTTGGTTTTTTTTTTACTTCATTTTTTACCAAGGATATCAAAGTGTGTCCACAGCCTTTTTTTTGGAGAAACTACTATTCTTGCTCTCATTGAATTTGAACTTCATTAAATTGTTTAATTTTATGAAAATCATTCTACCTTAGATGTATAGGCTTATTTTTTTGGACTCTCAGTTCTATTCCACTGGTATACGTGTCTGTTCAGATCACTGACACACTATTTTGGTAACTAGCTTTATATTAAATTTGCACATTTGTTCTTTTAAGACCTTTTATGGTGTGAGTCTTTAGGGTCTTTTACAGTTCCCTGTAAATTTGACAGGTGGCTTTTCCATCCAGAAAATGCCGTTGAGATTTTGGTTAGAGTTGTATCTCTAGGTCGCTTTTGATAATACTGACATTGTAACAATATTTTAAGTCTTTCAGATTTTGAACATGGGACATCTTAATTTATTGAGGTCTTCTTTAATTTTTTTTTTTTAGCAGTGGCTTGCAGTTTTCAATATATAAGTTATTCACCTCCTTGGTTAAATGTCTTAAGTTCAGGCTGCTCTGCAGGGCTTGTAAAAAAAAGCCCCAAGAATTGATAGAATACCAATTGGCATATTTCAACAAACAGTTGCTGCCCTGCACATGCTCTCCAGGTTGTACCAAGAAATCTGTAGGACAGCTACCTGGCCAACTTACTGGAAGAGATCCACATTTATTCCCATTCCAAAAAAAAAGGAAACCCATAAGAGTATGGAAATTATCTTATACTATAACTAATACCACACACAAGCAAAATCCTTCTAAAGATTACCCAAAAAAGACTAGAACAGTACATTGACAGAAAACTACCATATATATAAGCTGGGTTTAAAAAAGGACATGGCACTAGAGACATTATCACCAAATGTCAGATGGATCTTGGCAGAAAGCAGAGAGTACCAGATGAATATCTATCTGTTTTTCATTAACTATGCAAAGGCATTTGACTGTGTGGATCACAGCAAATTTTGGTTAACCTTGAGGAGAATGGGAATCCCAGACCACTTGATTGTGCTTATGCAAAACTTACACCTGGACCAGGAAGCAGTTCTCAGAACAGAGCAGGGAAACACTACATGGTTCAAAATCTGGAAAGATATGCATGCATCCTGTCTCTATGCTTTTCAATCTATATGCAAAACAGTACATTCAGGAGGCAGGGCTTTATGAAGAGGAATGTGGCATAAAGATTGGAGGAAGACTCATCAACAACCTGCATTATGCAAATGACACAACCTTGCTTGCTTGAGGAGGACCGGAAGCACTTGCTACAGAAGATTAAGGACTATAGTCTTCAGTTGGCCTAGTGGACAGAAAGTGATGCTACCAAGCCGAAGGTGGGTGACTTTAATCTGCTACCGTCAGGCCGGATTTTAATTGTTTTTGGTCATTCTTCTAGGTCATGTAGTCCTGGTCTGTCCACTGGCCGTACAGAGATAACTCGTGGTTGCTATGAAGCTGAACACTGTGACACTGCTGTGTCAAATGTGGTAATGGTTATCCGTGGTGGACAGTGTTTGGTGGAGCTCACGAATTAAAACAAGCATGGAAGCAGGAGTGACATCCACTTCAGAAACAGCTTGCCTCCAGAAAACCTATGAACCTGGAGAAAGGATGAGTTATACAAGCACTCGGGCCTTTCATTCATAGCATCACTGTGAGCTGCCTATGACTTGACTACATTTAACAACAGCAACGAGTCTTCAGTATGAATTGAAGCTCAAGAAGACAAAGATTCTTACCACTAGACTAATTGGCAGCACCATAAAAGATGTAGAAGAGATTGAGATTGTTAACAGTTAAAGCTTGCTCAGCTCCACACTCTTGGCACCAGCAGTCAGGAAGCAAAAGATAAATTGCACTGGGTAAATCTACTGCCAGGCACCTCTTCAGAGTACTGAAAAGCAACCATGTCAGCTTAGAGACTCAGATGCACCTAATCCAGGCCATGGTCTTCACAATTACTTGCTATGTATCAGAGAGCTGCACAGTGACTAAGGAAGACAGAAGAATTTGATGGCTTCGAATTGTGGTACTGGAGAAGAATCTTGAACATACCATGGACCACTAAGAAAACAAAGAGATCTGTCTTAGAGAGAGTGAAACCAAGTTTCTCCTTGGAGGCTAGGATTTTGTAACTTCGTCTCACATACTTTGGGCATGTTGCCAGGAGGGACCAATCCTTGGGGAAGGACATCATGCTTGGAAGGGTGGAGGGACAGTGCAGGAGAGGAAGACCACACATAAGAAGGATTGATACAGTAACTGGGTAACGGGGATAGGTGTGTTGGAGTCAGTGAGACTGGGCTCAGGACAGGACAGGCTTCAGAGCTGTTATACATAGGGTCAATATGGGTTGCAGGTGACTCAACTGCATGTAACAAAAGTCTTTTTGTGTTCATTCTTTAAGTGAAAGCCTATAAAGAAAATTGGTTTTCTTTCAACCATTTATACACATTTTGTTTTACAGCATTAATTTCATATTTGTTTTCTATAATTTAATTTTCATTTCCACTAACTCTTCTATCCTTCTCCTTTCTGTCCTTGGTCTGTGTCCTTGGGCAGATGCTGCTTTTGTTCTTATATGGTTAGTTATTCTAAGGAGTGAGTGCCTTCCAAGTCATGGTGTTCCCATTATAGATCCGTCTGTTATTTGACTTAAAGTTGAACTAGGGATGTATGTTTTATTCCAGGTTTGATGGGTGACTTAAGGGTACTGGTAGAACCCCCACCCAATCTATGGGACCATTAAATATTAGTCTCTTGATGCTATTGTAAATGGAATTATTTTACTATTTCCTTTTAGGATCTTGTAACCTGTAAGTGTGGTGAATTTGCTTATCAAATAAGTTAAAAAAATTTTATTTCACTTCTTTAGGATTTTATCTGTAAAATCATTTAATCAATTATAGCAAATAGAAACAAGTTTACTTTTTCCTTTCCAATATGTATGCTTTTTATTTCGCTTGCTTGGCTAGCACACTTTTGAATAGAAGCAGTACAAAGTTGGAACCTTCATTATCTTTTTGATCTCAGGAGAAAGATGTCGAACTTTGACCATTGTATGTTGTTCTTGTTTGGTGCTGTCAGTCAGCTCCAGGGTGTTCTGGCCCTGGGTGTAATAGAAGGAAACACCGCCTGATCATGTACCATCATCACAA